GGAAATGGCTGATAGAAGAGCTAAAGGGTTGTGTATGTTCTGTGATGAACCCTTTACACTAGGACACCAATTGAACACACAAGAGAGCCCAACTATATGTTGTGGAAGTAAATGATGATGAGGATGAAGATGACACTACAGAAGAATGTAAGGAAGAAGAACCCCCTATTGAGCCTTGCATATCGGTGAATGCAATTACAGGAAACTCACATTTTCAAACTATGAGGGTGATTGGATATCACAAGAAACGACCTCTACAAATCTTGATTAATAGTGGTAATACACATAACTTTGTGGATGAGCAAGTTGTGAAGAAGTTGGGGTGTAAAGTGGAGACCACTAAGCTAATGGCTGTATCAGTAGCTGATGGTAATAAAGTGTATATAGCAACAGTCTGTAAAGGATTTAGTTGGCAGATACAAGGCACCACTTTTGCAGCAGATTGCATGGTCTTACCTTTAGGATTCTGTGATGTGGTACTGGGAATTCAGTGGCTGTCAACCTTAGGACATATAGTTTGGGATTTCCAATAGTTGATAATGGAATTTAAGGTTGATGGGAAGAAGCATGTTGCCAGAAGAGCTACCACTAATAAACTAAGAGCAGCTGATGGCAAAAGAATGTCTAAATCACTGCTGCAAGGAGGACAATTAGCCTTGTTGCAACTCTACAGTATTGAAGAGGATGTTGATGCTACTGCTTCTCTATTCTCTATTACTCTGAATAATGCAACCATACCTGAAGCAGTCTGCAAGCTCTTGGACAAGTACTCTGCTGTATTTGAAGAACCAGTGGGCCTGCCTCCTTACAGAGAAGGCTTTGATCACAAGATCCCAATTGAACCTGGGGCTCTCCCTGTCAATAAGAGGCCATACAGGTACCCATCTTTACAAAAAATATTATTGAGAAGTTGGTAAATGAAATGTTGGAGAAATGTATTATACAACCTAGTGTAAGTCATTATGCTTCTCCTGTTGTTCTAGTGGGAAAGAAAGATGGTTCATGGTGCCTTTGTATAGATTACAGGGAATTAAACAATAGAACTGTGAAGGATAGGTTCCCTATCCCTCTTTTGGATGATCTCTTGGATGAGCTATCTGGTGCTAGTGTATTTACTAAACTGGATTTAAGATCTGGTTACTACCAACTTCGAATGCATAAGGAAGATGTATTCAAGATAGCTTTTAAGACACATGAAGGGCATTATGAATTTTTGGTGATGCCCTTTGGCCTCACAAATGCTCCATCTTCATTTCAAAATTTGATGAATCATGTCTTTAAGCAATATCTTAGAAGATTTGTCTTAGTCTTTTTTGATGATATTCTAGTGTATAGTCCAGATTTGCAGACTCATCTACATCATTTGGAAGTTGTTTTTGAGTTACCGCCACTGCATTCTTTGTATGTCAAGAGAAGCAAATGTTCCTTTGATGCTTCTAGAGTGGAGTACTTGGGGCACTTTATTTCTTCCTAGGGGGTTGCTACTGACCCTACTAAGATTTCAGCAGTTAGGAATTGGCCTCCACCTACTAACTTGAAACAACTGAAGGGATTCTTGGGATTATCAGGATATTATAGGAGGTTTGTGCAGCATTATGGTCATATTGCTAAACCTCTCAYTGATCTTCTCAAGAAAGATCAATTCTCATGGAATGAACAGGCCCAAGTGGCTTTTGATCAATTGAAGGAAGCTCTCTTCTCTGTCCCAGTCCTAGGTCTTCCTGATTTTTCCAAGACTTTTGTCATTGAGACCGATGCTTCAGGTGTAGATATTGGTGCAGTTCTTATGCAGGATAATCATCCTATTTCTTATATAAGTCGCACCCTCAGTCCTTTGCATCAAGCAAAATCAGTATATGAAAGAGAGTTGCTAGTTATCTTGTTTGCAGTCCAAAAATGGAGTACATACTTACTAAATAGACATTTTATTATAAGGACAAATCAAAAGAGCATCAAATATTTGTTGGAGCAGAAAATTTCTACTCCAGCACAGCAGGAGATAATGGCAAAACTGATGGGCTATGACTTTGAAATTYAGTACAAAAAGGGGCAGGAAAATAAGGCAGCAGATGCTCTTTCCAGGCTGCAATCTTCARAGCTTCTGTTATTGGCCTTGAGTGCACTGGATGCAGACTTGTATCAACAGTTGCAGCAGGCTTGGAATACTGACTCAACTTTACAGAAACTGATCCTTGAGCTTCAACAAAATCCAACAGATCACCCTCATTATACTTGGAGTAATGGCCAGTTGCGTAGAAAAAGGAAATTGGTTGTGGGGTCTTCTGCTGTTCTTAAGCAGTCTATTCTTAAATGGATGCATGATTCACCTTGGAGGTCATTCTGGTCGTACAACAACTTTGCAGAGGATTAAGTCAATATTTTATTGGAAGGGAATGTCTAAGGATGTCCACCAATACATCCGATCCTGTAGTACATGCCAAACTTGCAAATATGATTCCTCAGCCTATCCTAGTCTACTGCAGCCCTTACCTATCCCTGATAAAGTTTGGTCTGCAATATCAATGGACCTTATTGAGGGGTTGCCTACTTCTTTTGGGAAGGATGTTATTTTTGTGGTAGTTGATCGCTTAAGCAAAGCTGCCCACTTTATGGCTTTACGACATCCATATACAACCTTGCAGGAAGCTACACTTTATCTTAATGAGGTCTTTAAGCTCCATGGGTTGTCGGATACCATTGTCTCTGATAGGGATCCGGTGTTCCTCTCTGAAGTTTGGACTGAGTTGTTTAAATTGCAAGGTGTTGAATTACTCAATTCGTTGGCGTATCATCCTCAAACGGAAGTTGTCAATCGTTGTCTTGAAACAAATCTTCGTTGTATGTGTCATGATCAGCCTGCTTCATGGAGTAAATGGCTTCCTCTTGCTGAGTGGTGGTATAATACCACCTTCCATACCTCTGCTGGTACGACTCCATATGAGAACTTATACGGGCAGCCCCCTCCTCTTCATCTGCCTTATTTGCCAGGGGAGTCTAAAAGTGTTGAGGTTGATCGCAGTCTCCTCCAGCGAGAGAACATGATGAAATCTCTTAAATTTCATCTGCAGAGAGCTCAAAATAGGATGGCACAGTTGGCAAACCGACACCGGAGTGAAAGGTGCTTCAATATTGGGGATATGGTATTCCTTAAGTTGCAACCATATCACCAAAGCACCGTTGCTGATCGCTCGAATCATAAATTCAGTCCCAAGTATTATAGCCCCTATAAAATCCTTGACAAGATAGGTGTTGTTGCCTACAAGCTCGAATTGCCTACTGGAGCTCGGACTCATAATGTGTTTCATGTATCCCAGCTAAAGAAGGATTATTCGGCTGTTGCTGCTTTTGATTTGTCTCCTTTCAGGGTTCCTTCCAATGCCCCAAAAGTCCCTGAAGCTATTCTTGATCGTCAGATGGTCAAGCGGGGGAAGGTGGCTGCTGCAAAGGTCCTGGTCAAATGGCAGAATTTCCCTCCTGAAGCCGCCACTTGGGAGTTCTATTATGATCTCTGCAAGAAGTATCCTGGTTTTGACCTTTGAGGACAAAGGTTCTTAAGGGGAAGGATTTGATGTAGCATAGAAAGTGGCTGGAAATTCCGCTGGCAGTTATGTTTGTTATATTAGTTGGGATGTTAGACAATTATGTTTGTTATATTAGTTGGCATGAGTTGAGCTGGCGGTTGGACGAGCTGTTATAAAACTCTTGCACTTAGTTGAATAGAGACAGAAATACACATCTACACTCTCTCATTCCCTTCTTTCCTTCTTGGTTTCTTTCTTTCCTTATCTCTATTCGTGCGATTTTCTTGTGCTAACCATACGTGCAGGATAATCCAGCAGTAGAACTGCTTCACAACCTGAGCTGCATCAGATCCGAGTTGATGTTTGAAGGGGATGAGATATGAAATTTGAGGAAATTAATCACTCTTTTTCCTCTTGGATAAGACAAAAATGTAGTCCTTTAAAGTAAGAGTATAACTGCTTGGAGTCATATGCTTTAATGCTGATGCCTAGACTCGTTCTTTTCCTCAGTTTTCCATTCCCTTCGGTCTCACAATAAAAGCTTATCGTACTGGGAAAAGAAAAACTAAAAAAAAAATAAAATAAAATAAAAGAGATGAAGAAATGGCATTAGGAAAAAAAAAAAAAAAACCTTCTTCGAGTACTCTAGTTTCGAGGTACCCAATCCCAATGCCCTAAGACAAGGTTTAAAAACACTTTAACCAATCAATTGAGAAGTCCACACCGGAAAGCAATAAAGTGTGAAGGGATACCAATCAATTAGATTCTTGATCCTTCTTTCATTTCTCTCAAGGATTCTTAAGCTCTCAGTTAGGGAGTACAAACATAAATATATGTATGTGTAAGCCTTGTTTATTGTATATGTAGACCTTGTTTTGCACTGTACATATTTTTATTTGTACTCTTTCAAAGCTGAACCTTAATTAGGTACGTACTAAGCTTCATGGGTAATACCAGCAACAGAAACTAAGCCATGCGATTGGTTTTCCATAAGCAAAGTATCAGTTTTGTTCACCAGATCATTAGATTATCTCAAGGAAGAAATACATATATCGAGCAGTTATACTTCAATTAATTCAATTAGTAATATTCACTGAGATCTAACGATAACAAACCATTTGATCATCTCTCTCTCTCGTTGATTTGGCTTCTTGTTGCTTTCCAATGGATGCCCATCAATGTGACAATTCCATGAAAAGCACAAAAGAATGCCCGATAGTTCTTACACACATATCTCCATTTGGAATAATCAAAACCCTAAAAGGAGAGGCAGTGGGCCGTTCTGACTTCCACTACCATATTCCACACATATAAACAAATGAAAAGTTAGATCCTCAACCAAATAACCTCCACAGATTCCTATTCCATAATATAATTCAATTATTCCTTTTTATTTCTCTCTCTCTTCTTTTCTTTCATAAATTAAATATATATATATATATATAAAAAGGTGGTACCAGTCCTATAAACATGATACAGCAACAGGAACAAAACCCACTTTATCCCATCTGCTAAATTCAGCTACTAAAAGAAATCTCGTATAAATTAATCTAAAATTTTGCCGAATTTAGCACCTGTTCCCATCCCTGGTCCACCTTTTGCTATATACTACTAGGATTATTACACCACTATATTCGGATTATTACACCACTATATTCTCTTACAACGGCTCCTAATCTTTGGCCGGCTAACATCATTTTGCCTGTAGCTAGCCCAACATTACCTGTCCCTGAAGCGTCACTTCCTCTCTTCTTTCTCTTTTTCTTCCTTTTGTTTTTCATCCCTCTGATGTTGCTTTCTTACCCAGGCTATTACAAGCCATGTTGCATCTGGGTTTTCTTCTTTCTCAATTGATCTTATCATTTCCAACTTGGTTTAATTGGGAGAATTAATTCCTCACTGCAACCTAACTTCTTTAGCTTTTCTCTGTCTACCTGTAAGTTCCTCCAAAGGTAGGTGTCCAAAAATCAGCAGCTGTTTCGTTAGTAACTGGGTAGGTGCTTGAAATCGGCACCAGACACAACCCGCGGCTCCTTAGATCTGGTTTATGTGCTTCGCCTTCCTTGGATTTATCGGAGTTCTGCATGACAGATAGACGCTTCTTTTGTTGAGAGAGCACAACAAGACAACAATTGTGAAAACCTAACAAACAGAATCACAAGACAATAATACAAAAAGACTCCTCATTCAAGTAGCTAAATATCCCATGACAGAAAGAGATGAGAGAATTTTGTACCTGCTTGGGTTGAATGGAAGCTCCATTTTTCATATATGGAGTACTTAAAACCTGACATTAAAAACATAGGCCTACATCAGAAATCGATCCCCTAAGATCTTTTTGCTAGTTGCACTTTGTAATTAATCTCAGTTGTGTTGATCATATATAAGAGGGAAATAGCACAACTTACACTGACTTGATCATGCAAGAACTTGATGTACTCAATAGCTTCAAAGAGCACCGATGCCGTATCAGTCTGAAACAAAGGATAACATTCATAGAATTAACCAAAGCAAGCTCTGATAAATTCTAAGAGAAATTATCTCTGACAGTAGTTAAACTTTGTTAAAAGGTCAAAAATCACCTTTCCGAAAGGCGAAACCAATTGTTGAAGTGCCGTGATTCGGTCCCCTAACTTCTCTTTCCGGACCTAAGAACAAAGGAACATATAATTTCTCACCCATGTGTCTTGTAAAATTATAAAAGAAAAGAGGAGCTTAATGCTCCATAAGTCAAAAGATTACTCGAATATATCGTACCTTAAAAGTTGGCAATGGAGTTTCAATTCGAGGCCTTTTAAACGCAGGTTCACTATTACCTTTCTTCACCGCTGAGGCTGAGTCGCGAACGTCTTCTGTACTAGACTGAAAGATAAGTATGAAAACAGTTCAGTTTCCAAACCCTAGCCATGAAAACAGTTAATTGTCCATTATATCATTTGGATCTATCATCTACCTTTGCAGTGAGGTTGCTGCAGTTGGGTTTTTCTTCAAAGGTTGGTGTAAGAAGTTGGGTCTGCGATGAGGGGAAATAGCTGGAACGAACTTCATTCATGGCAGCTGCCGAGGCGTTCCAGAAAGGACCTTTGTTAGAAAAGTGTAACTGGTTAGTGGATTGCTGTTTAGGAGGTGAAGTTTTCAGCAACTGTGAGAATTTGGGCCAAGAAGGTGATATATCATTCGAGTTGATGCGGCAATTTGGTAGTAAATTGATTGATCCGTTCTCAAAAGAAGATTGTTGAGATTGAGGATCGGTTTCGAATAATCCCTGTAACAACGTTGAAGTGCATCCATACGAGGTTGAGCTCATCGGGAAACTCGTCGGTAAACCCTGACAAGTCACTGTACACTCGCTCGAGCTGTTGATGGAATTTAGACGCTGCTGGTCTAAAGCAAAGACCTGATTTATTTGCTTTAGAGCATTTATGGAGGAATCTTCACCACTAACTGAAAAATTCTTTGGACTCCATTCCTTTTGGAGCTGAGAGGATTCCATCGACGTCTCTTGCCGAAAACTGTGTCTCGAACTTAATTCCTCTTGAAGCATGGAATGGAAATTAGCCTCACCTCTTCCACTACTTCGACTGCAGCAAATAAATAATTAAACAAATAAAATTGATTATTTTCTGAACTCAATTATGAATCTTTTTCTTCTGATTTATAGAATTACCAATAGCAATGATGAAATCAGACTCCCTTAAATAAATGAAAGATTACAAAAAAAAAAAAGATGATCTTTCGAATCTCAGACATTTATTGCATAGGATCTTTTCATCTTAAGAGGCTATACGTGTACGGATCATATATAAGAACATCTCCCACTTACAGTAGAGCTTGATTCCAATCCACAGTTGTCGGTGATGAGAGTCCAAAACCCATGATTTGCAACGTGGAATCCATTAAAACTCCACCACCACTGACGGAATCCGCTACTTGCTGCTTCTGGGTATCAGAGAAAACGATCGAACTGTCGCAAACAGAAGCCGACTCCTCAGTCGATCTTGTTTTCATATCCACCATCTCAGTTGGCCATCCAAAGCTCCCGATGTCGTTAAGAGCCGTCGAGCAGGGGGACGAATTCCCGTTGAAGCCATTCCTCGTAGGATTCCACCAGTTTCCACTGCAAACCCCAGTCTGAAACTGATCTGCCATGGCCAGAGAATTAGAAATCTACAACTGTCTTTGCTTTGTTCTCTTCTTTTCCTTCTTTCTCGCACTTTCCCTTCTCCGGCCTCTGGATCATATGAGCTTCGTTAGATGAAAATGATTCGCCCCATCCCCTTATTTATACAAAACCGTTTGGATGTACGGACAATGGAGGAGACCGGAATCCGGTTGACATTTGAGGAGATGACTAGACAAGCGAAGGGGCATTTTCTTTCATTTTTCTTTCGTAATCGAATTTCCCTTTTCCCTTTTATTTTATTTTGGAAATTTTATATTTTTTTATTCCTTCGGAACAAAGCTAGGAATTATAAATATGATAATTAAAATTAGGATGGTCAGTGTTTTTATCCAAAATACCACGTCATCATCGCCTGACGAAGAATTTTCTTTTCCTGGTAATCCGATGGATGTAACAGTTTGTTTATTTATTCCTAATGACTAAAAATTACTAAATAGATTAGAATAAAAAGAGCCAAACAGAGATTACAAAAGAATGTCGTTGTTTATGTTCTTTATCTCTGCTATATCATAAAAGGTGCCTCAGATTGTACTGGGACTTGTAATTACAAGTTTCCACCCCCTCAGAATTACTTCACCTTTTGTTCCATTTACAAGAATCGGTGGTAGGAATGTTGGATCAAACTCGAAAATCCGGATCACCTGCAACCCTCTACCAACATCATATCACACCGTACATCTCATGCATAGTGAGTCTCACTTTTATAATGGGTCCCAGTGTTATAATGAGATGTGTGGTGTTAGATGAAGTTGGTGGAGGATGGGAACGTATTTTGTTAGTAGAAGATCTCAAGGAATGCTTGAAGTACAATTTTTCTTTTTTTTTGTATCGGGTAGAAAGTACAATATACACCACATATATGGAATATTGTGCCCTTGGGTCCCCATCTGACAATATTCCGAATTTTCCCAATGCTTGGTATACTATTCACTCCTAATTCAAAAAGCAAACAGCTTGTATTCCCCAACTAATAAATAAAGAAGACATAAACTCATAAAAAAATTAAAAGAAAAAATGTTGTAGAGACATAAAATGACATATTTCACTTGTTTTATTCCTCAGCCAATCAACACTTTTTTTTTTCTACGGGCATCCAGAAAAAAAAAAAAAAAAAAAACTTTTTTCTCTGAATCCTAAGGAGGTACTTGGATTAGGATTAGGGTGGAATTATAATTAAAAGAAGCCATTACCCAATTCTGATCCCGGCAATCCAGGGTATTGGGGAGAGGTTGTCTGGGCATAAATTAATTTATCTTTAGTACCAAGTGACCACTATAAATTTAATTCCATTTCGCCCAGTAATAATTGAATTATTCCATTTCAGCCTAGTCCTTCAAAGCGTAGTTTGAAAAGAATTATGGAAAATAGGAAGAAAGAAAAAGAAGATAGTAATCATATGGTCCATATCCCCAACCCTCTCCCTCCACACCTTGCCTTAAATGACAATGGTTAACAACTCACTCTGCTACAGAGTTCATGTGTTCAAATTTAGACGGCAACTGATAGTCATAGTGAACCTTCTTTCCAAGGACCACAGGTCCATTGTTGGCTGACAATTATTGCATCTTTTCTGTGTTAGAAACTGTATTTTGGATTTACAATATTAGACCTTCATTTCATAAAAGATATAAATAAATTAAACTTTATTTTCATCTTATGACAAAAATTTGATTGAGTTTATAAGATCTAAGATGAATAGTTTACAATATCCGACAATCAAAAGAAAAACCAATTGGATCATTTCCATGAATTCTAGTTTTCCTGAAAATGAAACCGAAGTTACTAATTCCTATCCTTCCTATAAGCCAAGGAGTTGAACCTTAGGCTGTGCTTGGTTGCAGTGTAAATTTATTTGCATTAATACAAATGTATGGGAGTGCAAAAGTAAAAATTGCAAATTCTTGTTTAATTTTGTTTTGGAGTTTACTTTATTCATGTCTTAATTTTCTTCATTCATACTGAAATCAAACAAAATAACCAAACATTTGAAACAAAAATAGCTCAGACTTTACACTCAAATCATTTGCACTGCCATAGTTTTGCATCGGTGCAAAATTATTTGCAATGGAACCAAACACAGCCTAAACATTTGATTGTCATATGGTTGGGCATCACATAACTTTGGTAAAGGTCATTTGACAAAGATTTGTTGATACTATCATCCACATCAATTTCATGGGGTGGAAAACAATTTAGTTTATTTGCCTATGATAGGCCATATTCCATGAATTATCTACATATTTGGAGCTTAGACTGTTTAATTTATATTTATCTTAAGCAATTGATTGAGTACTCCCTTTGGAATGATTAAGGGGTTTCTGCCAATATCTATAATTTTGTTTCATAAAACAAAATATAACTGCTACTGCTACATCAGCTAAACCATTTTGATTGCGTTCACGTTGCAGTTGTGTTTTTCTAGTGCCCTAATTCAAGCAACATATTGAGGAAGCATGTACAAAAGTTGTATTGTGGCCTTGTAATCATCAATTAAGGGCAATTAAAATTGACTGCATTGAAGCTTCGCACCATTTTAAAACATCAATCAAGACACTTGGGAAAAGACTGCTCACAAGTCACACCACTGTTTATCATTTGCCACATAACCAATCACAAGTGAACAAACCAGTGTTTCATAGGTAATATTCCGTACACTTACCAATGTTGGCATATTCGTAGTGATACACAGCGATGCAAGCAGCCGATCTGGGTTCCAACCAGGATACGTATATTTTGAAGGAACATCTTTACTATATTAAAGAAAACAAAGAACTATTTATCAAAGAGTTCAAAATGATTAAGTCAAATACTATTGCTTCGTATATTTAATATGTTCGTATCTTTGCTATATGATGCCGATACTTGTCATTGGCCTCATATGAAGACCACCATTTTTCAGAATTTTAGTCCATTTGTTTTCTTCTCTCTTATATGAATGTGCCACTCAACTAGTGGAAATAGATAAAATAAGCTGCACTCGTTTTATTCCAAGCAAGAAAATGAATGGTAGCCAAAACTAAACAAAAAACAGAACATTAGACTGGTCGGTAGCCAAGGAGAACAACGGTTGGTCTTAAAAAACTTTCCTTTTCTTAATTGGGTTTAAGAAAATAATTTAGTTTGGATGTTAATTGAAAGTCAAAAAGAAAGATAAGTATTACAATGGATTAGCTCTCAACAAATGCCTGTATAGAATATTATTATTAGTCAAAGGTCTAATTTTTCTGATGGCCATTAGGTGATTTAAACCGCAGTTACAAACCCTTAATTAACAAGCAGAGATAGTTCCGTAATTCCATGAAAGTGAGTATAGTATATTAAAATAATTAAATTAGAAAAATTCATCTCCCTCTCCACGTATAGGTACAACTCCTTCTTCATTTATTAATTTAATAAAGTTCTGCTCCAATTTCCTTTTTTTTTTATTTCTTATTGAGTTTCCCACTTCTTCCACCTTCGGATCAGACATTAATTTTAATTAAAGGATTTAATTTAAAGACAATAAGAAAACAAAAACCGCCAACTCGCAGCAGCGAAGCGGCGCCAGGTGCAAGCCAGACATCTCGACCGCTGACGTCCGGCTTATAACTTTGGGGAGCCGTGGGTCAACGTGGGGTCCAGTCGGCACGCGCGCGTGCACAACACCTAGGCCTCTCTGTCTTGCAAGAGTCAAAACCCGAAAGCGACAGCTTCTTTCTTCTTCCCCAAAATCATACCAGTTGACGTAACACGCACGGACCTGCTCTTGACTCTCTCTTTCTGTGCTCATCTCTACCCACCACCAGGCTTCAGCCCTCCCTACTCCATCTCCTCATCAGCGTCAATGCTTACATGGATCGTCTCTTTGAAAATTTACCCGAACTTTATTAATTGGTTTATTTTTGTCTTGTTCCTCCCCTGGACCCACTTCATCTTTTTGGTGTACTCAACGCACTGACGCGTAGGTTAAGTTGCATCGGAGTTGGGAAGATGTGAAGAAGCCAGATAGCAAAAGCATGGTGACATGCTAACGGTTTGTTAGTCCAGCTTTTGGTTAGAGAGCGGTTGAGCTTTTCGATATTTTTTTTTGTAGGGAGAAACAGACAGAGGGGGAGACGATGACTGGCGGTTACAGTTGGTGGTCTGTGTGTGTGCGGGGGAGAGATATTATAAGCCAATAAGTAGGGGAAGGGGGGGGATTTATTAGGATTTGGGATTGACCTTTTCGGGTAAAGACACCGTCGTCGCTTTAGGTCAAGCAGCAGGATATTAGGTCAGAGTCAGACCCATCCACTCCTTGGATCTTCTACTTGTCTTCTTCTGCTTGCGGGATGTTCCCTTGTACAATTACACTTTTACCCTCATTATGCTTGTATCATTGGCTTATGACCCTCCTCCCCCCACCCCCACCAGTTGTTGTAGTTGGTCAAGCTAATAGAATGTTATTATTGTTACTTTGTTTATCTATCTATCTATTAGATAGATAGATATAGAAAGAGAATGATATATAGAGAGAGAAGGTAGACTTAATACTTAGGTTCAAGTAGTTACATTATTAATTTATTAGTATGAAAAATTAGAGTGCCTTCATCAGAAGCGAAAATGAAAATTAAATTTTATACAGTTGCAATGATCCGATCATGTTGATTCTAGCTCTATGTACAAACAAAATGTATTCAATGGTTGGTACTGATCCTTTTTACATGGGATAGATGAAGGCTGAGAAGGGTTTCACATGCATTTTATCAAGAGATCACCCTCATCGAGTTACCCCCTTGATTACTTTGGGTGGTTTACAAAAGTTCATAATTGTAATAAAACTTGCATGTGCATAGTGATGGAATAGGCCCACAGTCAAAGCCCTAGTACTAGAACTAGTGAAAGCTACACGCTGCTGGTATTATGTTAACCTAGCTAGGTGAATTTAATGCTTTATCTTAAAACTTTTTACATTTATTATTATTATTATTATTATTATTATTATTATTATTATTATTATTATTATTATTATTATTATTATTATTATTATTATTATTATTAT